GAAGCGTTTTATTCGTTTGTCACTTCAACGTAAAGAAACAGACGCTCGTCGTCACTTCAGCCTCCTGGGTTCAGTCCTGACAGCTCAAACCTCAGCTCAGGGTTTTGGCTTCAAGCCGCTCAGAATCGGAACAGAAATTTATTTCCACTGTCGTCTCTCAGCTGAGGATTTCACAGGACCCCCCCCCCCCCCCCAAACAGAAGAAGTGTCTTATTTTCCTCCCAAACATCAGTGAAACAGTTAAATAGCTGCTCACTCCTGCTGCCAGCATCTTTTGTCTTGGTGCGCTGTTGTTTCAGGTGCAGCCATCTCTTGATGAATAATTAAATGGAAAACAGTCAGAGGGCTCAGACCCCCCTGCCCCCCCTGCCCACTGCCCCCCTGCAGAGCTGCATCCCAATCCTGGGAAGTATATTTTAATAAGGCTTACATCAGAGCCACTCTTCTGATCTGCTCTGGTTCTTCAGAAAACTGAGGCGTCAAAGTTTTGTTTTTAAATGTGTCCGAGCAGAGAGGAGGATTTAATTCAACGCCTCTGGAGCCACAAAGTTCATCTCTGCTTCCAGAATCTGCAGGACTCGTGGGAGCCACGGTGTTTTACGCAGCGAGAAAACTCGCCAAGCTTCAGGAGTGTTTGGCCGGCCTGAACGATGCTGTTATTGATCAGCTGGAGTGATTATAGGTCTTTAGTGTCAGCCTCTCGGCCTTCTCATTCATGAAGATCATCTTTCTCTCTGCTGGTCTGAGCCGAGGCATGTGGCCAGGATCAGGTGTCTGCAGGTTCACTTCTGTGTAGAAATAAGAAAACATCTAAATAACTTTTATTTAAAGGAGGAACTAGTTAAATATCTTCTGTAGCATCTTGGATGTTGTGCATCGTTTGTAAGTCTGCAGCTGCCGGCGTCGTGCTGGAGGTCAAACCTTCTGCAAACTCTACACCTCCTACGGGAGCCGAGCTTCTATAAATACTGAAGGACATTTTATCTCACGTCGATGGACAAAGAAAGGAGAAACGTGAGAAACTGTGCATCGGAAACAAAGAGCTTAAAGAAGAAGCGGAATAACTGGAAGATCACGTTTCTTTAAAGTTTGCTGATGGATTACAGCTGGATTAAAGTCAGATGAGTTCTGAAGCATGGGCCCAATAATCAATAATTAAACTTCATTATTTTACACGTTCATCAAAAATCCCTCAGTTTTCCTCAAATGCTGTTTCCAAAAAAAATAATGTGATTATTGAATGAAACGTGATTTTAAATTAAATTTATTTTTGAAACACTCATAGCCATGAAAGACTGGTGATCCTCTGTCTGTTAGCAAAATATCTCATGAACAACAGGAGGGATTCTAATTAAAGTAATGGCACATGCACAACTTTTGCATCCAACATGATACAAGATGGCTGCCACAACTAATCACACATGGCCAACAGAAAAATGGCTACAGCTCAGTCAGTTTGCAGATACTGAGCTAAAACCTGGTGTGGTAGTAGCTGACAGTCATCTGAAGGCAAGATCTTTATTCAGAACTTTGACTCAGTTTACTCTTCTCTCCTTTTATTAATTGGGGACTGAAGGCAGCACCTGTTATTATCCACCTGACAGGGGTTTCTTAACTTTATCTTGCTCTTCTGTCAACTTTGATGTGGCTCAAACCGCATCGTGTCTCCCCACTAATGTTTTATCACAACGAGCGTCTCGGCACCGTGATGTGTGCTGTTACTTATATTGGCATTTTGAGTTACCATGGCGACACAATTTGCAAACAATGACACCATTTTTCTCATTGAAAAAGCCTGACGCAACTCAACAGCTTCAAACGGCCACTTCTCATGAACAGCTCATTGAATTTTTTTGAAACTCACAGAAATTAATCATCAGATGCATTTCTAGAAATTATTAACCTTTGGAGCCATTTTGATAAAAGATGGCTGCCACGGCTACCTTAGAGAATACAAAACTGACTATAACTCAGTCATTCTTTGAGACATTGAGCTGGAATTTGGTCTGGTTGTAGCTGAGAGAGAGTTGTTATACATTACTAATGCAAATTATGAATCCAAGATGGCCACCTTAGCTAAATGGGGAAAAAATACTATAACTCAGGTATTTTAAAGCTATTGAGCTGAACTTTGGTGTGGTGGTACCTGACAGCGATGCACAACACTTTCTGAATTCAAATCTAAAAATGCAAGATGGCTACCAAAGCTTAAAATAAAAAAATGACTATAACTCATTGAGTTTTTTCCTTACTGAGTTGAAATTTGGTGAGATGGTAACTGAGAACAAACCCCAGCACACAGTACTGTCAAATCAAATTTTTTTTAATGGCCCCAACGTGGCAGTCCCCGTCAAAGTTTCTCCAGGAACCTTCTAGTTTAATAATTACTGCCTGACGGGCAGGCTGAACTGTTTCGGAGGAGAAAGACGTGCTGAAGAGGTTCATCCGTAATGTTGTAGTTTGATGCCGTATTGGAGCAGACATGCTTGCAGACAATCTGAACTGAATTTAAACGAGACTGATAATAAAATGAATATCTGATAAAGCAGCAAGAATGAAACCAAAGAAAACACTGGAGTGAAAGACAGATCCCTCACTGGAAGCCAGGAGGCTGGCTAAAATGAAGCAGCGCCGCCGACAAACTGCAGGAACTGACGATGAAGAAAAGAAAGTGAGGAGCGTTTGTACGCTGCGAGATGATCAGCTGATGGAAGACAGGTGAGCTGATTTCCACATGAAGAGACAATGGCAAGGGAGACACATCCAGTAACCATCAATTGGTTTGTATTTGGTTTTATAACAAGCAGAAAACCAAATACAAAAAAATTAATATATTTAAAACATGACAGATGGGTCTGGGTGTTTACTTGAGTCATTTACTAAATGTTTCCAGGTTTTTAAAATACTTAAAATAAAATAAAAACATACTAAACACAGTTGTTTTGGAAAGATTCAGGAAATTAGTTTCTGTAAATAAAAAGCTGTTTTTTTTCACCTCATCATTATGGTTCCAGCTGGAAGACAATTTCAAACTGTGTCAGAACATAAATATTTATTAAACACATGCAGCAGTTTGTTCTTATGGACCTGCTCTTTTTCCAACACAATCAATTTCCAACGATGAACTTCATAACTGCTGTTGAATCTAAGATGAAACAAAGCAGCCAAGCGCTGAGCGTTCTGATTTTATGGTCACATTCCTGCTACGAGCCATAAAACGTCCTGTCATCCAGTGCAAACGCAGCTCCTGACAGCCTTTACAATGGCAGTAATGAAAAATGACAAACTGCTCACATCAGGAGGAATCACGTGGCTCCGAGACCATGTTTTGCTCGTCTACAAATGGTTTGGGGCCGACAGCCTGAGAGATAAGACCAGCCAAATATGGATTCACGGCCGAGTGAAGGAAATTAGGAGAGCAGGCAGATGGAGGAAAACAGGATGAATGACACCCAGGTGAAAAGGTTAAACTGGGAGGCGGGAGTATAATGAGCAATCGGAGGCTGATAGGGTCAACAATGTCAGCCCATCTGTTGTTGCGAAGCTGCAGGTTAATTGACTGAAGACAAACCCGACAGACAAACTCACTTGTTGTTTTTGCAGTTTGGTTCTGTGACATCCATCAGAAACATAAAACACAGCATCATCTGCAAATAACAACCCTCCTCTTCACTGGCACCTTTGAGGACGTCAGTGATCTCTGATGTCTCAAGAGTTTAAACAAAACACAATTATTTTATTTCGTATTTTAAGATTTGTTTTTTCATCCAAGAAGCTTTTTTTTTTAGCTCAAATTAAAACGTGTTTATTTCCAAGCTTTCAAACTACAGAGGATTGCCGAACTCACAAACAAGCCATTCTCCCTCCCCTCCCTCCTGAGGGTCATCAGGGTCTTTGTTGAACTTGTTCACATGAAAAATATTTTGCACTTAAAATGCAGTTTTCATGCAAATCCCCAGTCAGATTCACAATTTGCAGTTTGCAACTTCATGCATGTGAGCAAAACATCTCACGTTAATAAAGACGCTAATGTCCCCCAGGAAGGAGGGGAGGGGTTTACCTGTGAGCTCAGTTTGAATAAATGGTTATCCACTACAAAGTTTTAAAAAAAATTAACTGCACTTATTTCAGCTTGAACTGAGACATTCAATATGATTTTAAAAAAACAACTTCTGAAGCCGATCTGATTCAGGGTGTCCGCCACCAACAAATGACCTTAGTCATTAAAAAAAGTCATAATTTGATACTTTTTACTCATTTTATTCTTTTAGCACTTTCTCAAGAACTGTGTCCTGCGTTTGTCTTAAAAACAATCTGTAAAAATCAACCGCGTAGGCCCACGCTCTGCTGGGTGAGCCTGTAACGTCATGACAGTGCAGGTCCAGTGTAAGGTGGGCTCGCCCCCCAAAGGCTCTCGGTAATTAGAAAAGTGCGTTTATGTTATTACTGTCAAGATTTCAGGCCTTCTATCACCAACAAATGATCTTACAGGCTCTATAGGTCCGTCTCAGTCTCACGTCTTTACAGATTTTCTAATATTTAATGAGATTTTATGAATTGTGCATCAAGAAAACAAGTTGTTTTTATTTATTTTGCCTTGAGAACTTACCCCCTGAGTTTATTTTAACTTACCTCTGAAACAAAACTACTTTTTAAAAGTTTTTAATTTTTATTAAACATCGCTTTGACAACTCCATGGTCACAAAGAAGTACAATTTTGACAAACGGTTTTCATAAAAACAAAATATGTGATTCTTTTTTTTTCTCCAAGCAGAAACTTTATGTGCATCCTTACAATAAATTTATTATTTAATAAGCGGGTAAAGATAATGGATGGATGGATGGATGTTCTTTGACGACTCTTTCAGTTTTGCTGCAGCAGGATTTGTGCACAGTAAATGCGACCTTCAGCATCTACATTTGCTGCAGTTTGAAATGTTTGGTAACTTGAACCCTCATTTCTCTTTTTCCTGATTCTGTCCTCTTCTTCCTCCAAGGGAAGGACCAAGGTCATGATCAGCTGGTCCAATGTGACGGCGTCAGGCCACGAGGAGCTGGGCCTGAAACCTGAGGAGCTGCAGAAGTCCAAATGTGTCCTGGGCTTCATTCCAGTCATCTACTACAGTATCCTGCTCTGTGTGGGAGTACCAGGTACACATAAAAAAACTACACCTAGTGTGTACTGTCAGGGGCAAGTGGACAAGAGTCCAGTTCAATGCAGAATGGAGTTAGAGGTCCATCATGGTGGTGAGATACTAAACTGCTGTCACATGACTCACAGCTGTGGGTGTTTACAGATTGTATCATCATCTCACAACCAGCTGAATATTCATTCATGATAAAATCCAGTAAGTTTTAGTTTCTCTTCTAGGGTTTTAATAATGTTTTTGACAGGAAGACAGCAGCTTCCTTCTCATTTCACCTTTCAACAGCTTATTGATTTGGTATTGATTCTGTGAGGATTTATGGCAGTTTTCAAAGCAAAGATGGTCTCATCACATTTAGGAGTCCTCTCAAATCGTCCCCAGAGGAAAACAAATCTGAAGTGTAAAACAGTCATCAGCCTGATGAAAATGGTCTTCACTCCTCATCCTTACAATCCAGTTCAGGTTCTGGGCTCTGACTGGACCGTTGCAGCACCTTGGTCCTTTTCTTTTTGACCCGTTCTGTTGTAGATTAGCTGCTGTGTTTGGGATCGTCTGTCACGTTATTAAAAGATTTGGGTGAGTCCTACTGTGAGTTTTGAACGTGTCTTTATTCTTCAGCAAGAAAAGCCCTGTCTCACCCCCTGCCTGCTGCTCTCTCCTCCAGTACTGACGTCATCCCCAGGTGACTCTGTCAACTTTCCTAAGTACCCAGTTACACCACATCTCCCCTTTCTGGAATTAATGGGTAGACTGCCATTGATTCAGCAGGACTTCAGGATGTTATTCTGCCCCTGTGGATGGAAGGTCTGCTGCTATCTGAACCCTGAGAGCAAAATCACTGCATGCTCAGTTACAGTAACAAGCATCTCTTTCTTTTTTAAGTAATGTTCTCACTCTCAATAAAGTCTGTGATTATCAAAGTTATAAGTCTAATCGGGCTAGTCTTACCACAACTCTCCTGGACCTGGTTCTGAACGTAGGAGTAGATGGTGGTTCTGGAGCGTTCTGCTGTGGTGACGCTGCTGCAGGTTGTTCTGTGGATGTTCATTCAACCTTTATTTATACAGGTTAGTCCCATTGAGCCTCGGGGAGCCATTTACAAGAGAGACCTGAAAAACATCTACCTCCAAAAAAAACATCTACTACATCTCCCAGGATGTGCTCAGCTGCACCACTGCTGCTCTGCTTTGGGGAGGGCTGCATGGTGATGAGATGGTGAAGATTTTGCCTGATCCTGTGAGGTCCCTCCACCAGATATGAGCGATGCGTGGTGGTTTCCAATGACAGCTCCAGCTGTTTTTTGGTCTGTTACCTACACGTTCTGCCCAGTTGTGAGTCTGTTGAGGTTCTGTGCCGCAGATGCCACAGGGCGTTGTGCTTTTTACCATCTCTTTTTCCTTTCACAGTACAGCGCCTCCATCCGGAAGAGCAGGATTTAGCATGCAGTAAGAATTGGCACGGTAGTATGAAGCCTTCTTCCCAATAGAAGTTGAGCTGGACTGTATCCAATTTACAGTGGGGTAACCATGCAATCAAGCAAAGGAAAACAAGGATCATCTGATTTCTTCATGGTCATGCTCAGCTTCAGCGTTTCCCTGGGGGAATTTTGGGATGGTAGTCACGTGATGGAACCATAGGACTCTGCAAACGCAGCAAAAGCCGCTCCAGAGACCTGTGGCTCATTAACGGTCACTAGAGTCTTGCAGATCTTGTGATGTGCAAAAATTGACTTCAGGTGGAGTATCATGTCACTAGACCTTGTGGGGGTTAGCAAAGCAATCTCCACATACAGTACCTCGACACATAGTCCACCACTTGAAGGTTGGTCTTGCTCCCTAGCATTAACAAATCTGCTCCACACTTTTGCCATGGTCGCCCTGGATGTGGTGTTCAACATCAGCAGCTCCCTGTAGTTCTGTCTCTCCTGGCAGCTTGCTCGGCAGTTAAGAACCAACTTGTTCAGCTGCTGGCTGAGCAATGACCACCATACTCACTGCTGTGCCCACTTTCTACTTGACCACACCTTGATGTCCTTGGTGTACCTTGGTGAGAATGTAATTTCTCTTTGTTGAGGGTATACTGAGTCTTTGTCCCTTTAGTAGTAGACCATCATGGACTGTGAGGTGAGCTTGTTCAGCCCAGTATGGCTTAATTGCAAGTTATTTGGTGTTGTGTGCTGGTCATTCTTCACCACAAAACTGCATTACATTTGCACACACACTGTCCCTCTGCAGCTGGTCCCTCAGCTCTTCCAGATAGGTAGTACTCACAGGTACGTTTTCCATTACTATGTCTTTGATTCGAGGAGGTACAGCATCCAGTACTTGAGACCCCAGGAGACTCTAGAGAGGCTTGTGATCTGTCTCTAGCTGGAAATGTTTCCTAATCAGGAAGCTGCAGAACCTCTCACAAGTTCAGGTCAATCCCAATGTCTCCTTATCCTCTTGCCCGTATCTCTTCTCGGTTGGTGTGAGAGAGAGCAACATGTAGGCTATATGCTTCCACTCCTTAGCCCATTTTTGGAGAAGCACTTCTCCTAGCCCATATGATGATGTGTCAGCTGACACCTTGCATTCTCTGTTGTGATCATACATGGCTAGCACCGGTGGTGATGACAGTGTATCCTTCAGATCTTGAAAAGCTTTAGCCTGTTTGATGCCCCACATCCAGCAATTTTTTTGACAGGAGATCACACTGGGGTTTGTCTGTCTCAGTCATCTGTGGGATAAACTTTCCCAAGTGGTTTATCATTCCAAGAAATGATCTTAAATCACTCACTCTTGTTGGGTCTTACATCCTCTTCACAACCTCCATCTTGCTCCTCCATCTTGGGTCTGATATGCCACTGGCAGAGAACACATGACCTAGGAAACATGTAGGCTTTGACAGGTCACATTTTTCAATATTTAGAGTGATACCTGCCTTCTGGATCTTCTCCAGTGCAGTGTGCAGGTGAGCATCATGCACCTCTTGCATACAACCTGAACATCATTTATATGGCACGCCACTCCCTTGAGCCCTTCTGTGACCTCTGTCACCATCCTGTTCTGAAAGTGCTCAGGAGCTGATGCTATGCCAAACAGTGGTCGCTTGAAGAGAAAACACCCGAAGAGTTTGATGAATGTTGTTAGTTTTGCTGAATCTTCTATCAGGGGAATTTGCCAGAACACCATATTTGCATCCAGCTAACAAAAAAATTTGAATCCAGCCAACATACCCAGTGTTTCCTCCACTGGTGCCAGGATAAACTTCTCATGAGACACCAACTCTTTCAGTTTGGTGAGATAGACACATATGCACACGACCCCTGTCTTTTGGTGCACCACTATAGAGTGAACAAGTATAGTTTGTTAGAGCTTTAACCAATTCCCAGCCGAGGCAGGGGACACTGAGTCAGAGTGGGCCATGTTCCGCACCTCAGTTGTTAACGTATAGCTGCTTTGAGCTGTGGATGCAAGGTTGTAGGTGCTTCTCATGGTGGCCATCCTCGAACTCCATGGTGGACACCCCAGGTTAGGGAAGCTGTTAAGCTGAAGAAGCAGTCCTATCGGGCCTTGTTGGCTTGTGGGACTCTGAAGGCAGGTGAGGAGTACCAAAGGGCCAAGCGGTCTGCAGTCTTGGCAGTTGCTGAAGCAAAAGCTCAGATGTGGGAGGAGTTTGGCGAGACCTTTGATAAAGACTCTCGGTCGGCTCTGAAGAGATTCTGGTAAACCATTAAGTGGATGAGGAGGAGAAAACAGCTCTTTACTAACACTGTGTTCAGTGAACGTGAGGTACTGTTGACCTCAACCAGTGATGTTTTATTGGGAGGTGGAAGAAATACTTCTCTGACCTTCTCAATCCCACCAGCACATCTTCTAAGGAGGAATCTGATTCGGGGGACTTCGGGGTTGGTCTGTACATAACCATGGCTGAGGTCACCAAGGTAGTTAAAAAGCTACGCGGCAGCAGGTCTCCAGGGGTGGATGAGATTCACCCTGATTTCGGTAAGGCTCTGGATGTTGTGGGGCTGTCTTTGTTGACACGCCTTTGCAAAATTGCATGGACATTAGGGACGGTGCCACTGGACTGGCAGACTGGGGTGGTGGTTCCCCTCTTCAAAAAGGGGGACTGGAGAGTGTGCACTAGATATAGGGGCATAACTCTCCTTAGCCTTCCTGGTAAAGTATTTTCAGTGGTACTGGAGAAGTGAGTCTGATCACTGGTCAAACCTCAGATCCAGGAGGAACAATGAGGGTTCTGTCCTGGCCGTGGAACACTGGACTAGCTCTTTACCCTCACTAGGGTCTTTGAGGGGTCATGAGAGTTTGCCCATCCAGTCTACATGTGTTTTGTGGACTTGGAGAAGGCTTTTGATCATGTTCCTCAAGGTAAACTGTGGGGGATGCTTCGTGAGTATGGGACTGGGGGCCCATTGCTACAGTCTGTTTGGTGCCTGTACAAGTGGTGCAAGAGTTTGGTTTGCATTGCCGGTAGTAAGTCTGACCCCTTCAGGGCAGAAGTTGGACTCCACCAGGGCTGCCCTTTGTCACTAATTCTGTTCATAACTTTTATGGACAGAATTCCAAGATACAGCTAGGTGTGGTGGAAGTCTTGTTCGGTGGCCTCAGGATTCCATCTCTGCTCTTTGCAGATGATGTGGTCCTGTTGGCATCATTGTGCTGTGATCTCCAGCTGTCACTGGAGTGGTTCACAGCCGAGTGTGAAGCAGCTGGGATGAGAATCAGAACCTCCAAATCTGAGGCCATGGTCTTCAGTTGGGAAAGGGTGGATTGCTCTCTTTGGGTTGAGGCTGAGGTTCTGCCTCAAGTGGAAGAGTTCAAGTATCTCTGGATTTTATTCACGGGTGAGGGAAGAATGGGGCATGAGATTGACAGATGGATTGGTGCAGCGTCTGCAGTATTGCGGACCCTGTGTCGATCTGCTGTGGTGAAGAGGGAGCTGAGCTGTAAGGCAAAGCTCTGTGTTTACTGGTCAGTCTACGTTCCTCCCTTCACCTCTGGTCATGAACTCTGGGTAGTGACCAAAAGAACGAGATCGTGGATACAGGTGGTTGAAATGAGTTTCCTCTTCAGGGTAGCTGGACTCTCCCTTAGAGATGGGGTGAGAAGTTCAGTTATTAGGAGAGACTCAAAGTAGAACCACTGCTCCTCCACATCCAGAGGAGCCAGTTGAGGTGGTTCTGGCATCTGGTAAGGATGCTCCCTGGGCGCCTCCCTAGGGAGGTGCTTCAGGCATGTCCAACTGGGAGGAGAGCCTGGGGAAGACCCAGGACACGCTGGTGTCTCGGGTAGCCTGAGAACACCTTGGAGTCCCCCCAGAAGATCTAGAAGAGATGGATGTGGAATGAAATGTCTGGGCCTCCCTGCTCAGGATGCTGCCCCTATGATCCAACTTCAGAACAAGCAAAAAATAATGGCTGGATGGATAGAAGTATAGTTTGTTTGGAAGAAAGTCTCTTTAAAACCAACATGGCAGCACAACTTGCATTTGTAAACTTTTATCTGAAGGGACCACAAGACGTCTGGAGCAAAACCAAACCAAAGTAGATATGTTTACCCATAATGCATTGCAGCATGTTTAGAGAAAACCAAACAAAGCAAATCGATAAAAACACTTCATCCCAGCTGTCAGCATGGTGGTGGAGGGCTGAATAGAGAGCGGCCGAGAAGGGGGTGAGATGAGCTTTTCTTGTTGATGAATAAAGACACGTTCAGAATATACAGTGGGTCTCACAAATATTTCAATAACTCGACATGGTGTCAGAAGCACTGTAGTTGTCTGCTGAAAAGGTTTGCACACCTGTGGAGGAAAGAAGAGAAGGACAGAATGAGTAATGGAGAAAACTAGAGCAGTGGGAGCCAGGAGCAAGCAGCACCACAGAGAGTCGTTGTGGAACCAGGGCCATCTGCCATCTTTAATGTCCAACCACCAGATTCCTTCAGCTTTTCAAAGATCTCATTGCTACTGATGCATGAAGTTAGGCAGGAACTGTCCCGCATGGAAAATGTTGGGGTGATATGCAGAGTCCAGGAACCAACAGACTGGGGTGCTGGGATCGTGTAATCACTCTGTCATGACCTTTGACCTGCTAATTAAGGACTGTAGAGTCTGAGATGGAGATAATTTCTCTGAGCATTGCAGGGTCTGACCTTCTGGGTGAATTTGCTGAGCTGTCTACTCCTGTGCAGATTATCAGCTGTCTTTAATGTTTTCCAGGTGTGCATTATTTTTTTCCCTCTGTAGAATGATGGACTCCATATAGTTCAGAAATGACCTTTGACCTTTATCAGATTGACAAGCAGCAACATCTGCTTCTCTGAGGTCATTGCTGGTGTCTTTCCAGCTTGGTGTTGTGGTAACACACACCTGTATGCTCTAGTGCCTCGGAGATCCTGTGGAAGCAGCAAGACTAGAACCAGTTTTCCTCTCACATCTTTTCTCTTTTCTTTTTATTTATTTTTTAATAAACTTATTAGAGTCTGTTGTGTTTTTGTTCACTGGAAGTCAGATGTAAATAATTTTACAACCTGGTAAAGACCAAATCGTTCTCAATATGTTTCAATACATTTTATTTGACCTTGCAGGTAAAATAACGATGTTTTTCTGTCTTTGTTTTCAGTGAATGTTCTGACAGCAGTGGCCTTGTCCCGGCTGGCGTCCCGCACCAAGAAGACTCTGTACTTCTACCTCCTGGCTGTGACGGGCTCAGATATCCTCTCTCAGCTCTTCATCATCTTCGTTGGCTTCCTGCTGGAGACGGCGGTCTTCCACCGCGACGTCCCCATGCCCCTGCTGCACGCCGTCAGCGCCGCAGAGTTTGCTGCCAACCATGCTTCCATCTGGTCCACGGTCCCCCTCACCGTGGACCGGTACATGGCGCTGTGCCACCCCCTGCTCCACCGACAGATCAACTACCCTGCTCGAGCCAGGAAGATCATCGCGGTAGTGCTGATTTTGTCGCTCGCGTCGGGCGTGCCCTTCTTTTGGTGGTCAGACATGTGGAGGAACAGCCACCCCCCCACGGCGCTGGACACCGTCCTCATCTGGACGCATGTGACTCTCATCTACTTCATGCCCTGCAGCATCTTCTTGGTGCTGAACTCGCTAATCATCCACACCCTGAGGCAGAGGCAGCAGCCCTGCCAGGAGGAGCGAGGACCCCCACGAAGACTTGGGAAAACCACAGCCATGCTACTGGCCCTGACCTCGGTCTTCTCCGTCCTGTGGGCCCCCAGAACCGTGGTGGTGATCTACCACCTGTACGTGTCCTCAGTGCACAGAGACTGGCGCGTCCACCTGGCCTACGATCTGTCCAACATGCTGGCCATGCTCAACACCGCCGTCAACTTCTTCTTGTACTGCTTCGTCAGCAGGCCGTTCCGCGGCGCAGTGCGGGACATCATGCTGCTCCGAGGAGGGCCTCTGGACCCCCGCCGGGCCCTGCCTCCACACCAGGCCCCTAACAATGCCTCCATCTCCTCTCTGTACAGTGGGAACAACAAGCGCTCGCAGCGAGACTCCGCCCCCTCGTCACCTCGCAGGACCAGAAAGCCCTCGTGACCTCATCCTCCCCTCCTCCCATTAATCCAAACCCCGTCGTCCCACGGTCCTGCTGCTCCCCACACCCTGGGGACAGATGGACGGCAGCCAGAGGGCCCCGGAGCGCTCTCACGAGGCCTCAAACGAGCCCAGCTCTCATGTTTTGTGTTTTCTGTGACCCGGTGCTGTTTGTTCACTTAAATCAAACAAGACGACTGCGTTTTTATTTTTCCTGGAAAGAATGTAACAGAAAAAGAAGAAGGTATCTTGTTCCACACATGGTGAACATTTTTTAACGTTAGAAAAAATGCACTTATTTGATTAATTGTGTACTTAGAAGTCAGCAGGAGGGAGATTGATTTGCATGCTGCTAGTTGTGATGATGATGAAGTGACGTGTGCTCGTGGGGGGACGGCCACTGTACCACGTCTCAAACGGACTGACTCGAGGATCAGCTCTGCAGCTCAGGAACAAAACCCACAGCTGCGAAAGCGAGCGCTGGTGTTTTTAATAAAATGCAACTCGTTGGAGCTTTAAATGTGAGGGGCCTGCTCTTCAAACAGCCCCCCCGCTGCAGCTCCACAGCCTCAGCTCCGGCTGAGGGCGCACGCTGTCACGCATGCATGGACACAAAGTACATTTCCACTTGGAGCAGGCGCTGGATCAGAGCACTTCAACTCACAACCTGAACACACGGCATGATGTAAGAGCTCACACGTTTCAGTCATGCATCACTTGTGCTCTGATCGGACTTTAAATGTTAAACTTCTGTTGTAATGTCCTGAAAATAAATCTGTATTTTGGAAATATATTCTTCTTCTTTCGGCTGCTCCTTCTTCAGGGGTCTCCGCAGTGAACTAACTCGCACGAAGGCTTGGCGATTGTTTTTATGCTGGATGCTCTTCCTGGTGCAACCACAGACACCGAGCTACCACAGCCCTCGTGGAGCAGAGAGCTGCACCTAGGGCGCCCTGGGGAGCAGATGGTGGGGGTTAAGAGCCTTGCTCAAGGGTCCAGAGTGGGGCACATGAGGGTGGTGGCAGGTGTGGGTGTTTCACCTTTCCTACATTTTAATGCTGTCGGTCGGGGGAGTTGAACCAGCAACTTTCTGATCACAGACCCACCTTCACTAACCTCACTCAGGCCAGATGGAGACGGCAGGATTCACAGAAACGTTTAGAAAAACCAGTAATTCAAATGTTTTAATGAGGTTCTTTGATGATCTTCTTTGTTAAAATCAGGTCTCTCTTGTAAATGAGTCCTCGAGGCTCAATGGGATTTACCTGTAGAAATAAAGGTTGAATGAAAAAAGGTTGTGTGGAAAAGTTGTGAACAGTCAGTGTCTTAACTGTTGTAGATAAGGTGGTATCTCACTGGGCTGTGACTGTCGGGGACCAGTTGGTGACTCAAAACTGAGACAGTTGTCTTAAAATTTCCTTTCAGTTTCACCGAGTTGAGTTTGTGACCTGCGGGACTCCTTTTAAACAACCAGTTAAAAAAAAAAAACCACTGTTTACTTCCTCGTGCGTGTTTTCACATCATCTCATTTTCCACCTCTGCTCACTTCAGCAGTTCATGACTTATTTTACTGGAGCTCATTTTAGAATCAAATACAGGTGACTGGAACCAGTTTTTAGTGATTAACATGTTTTTTTTTTTAAGAACTGGACATGGACCAGGACTATTCAACTGGTGGCCCGGGGGCCAAATCAGGTTCACGGGTGAGCTCAGTTCGGCCCAGCAGTGGGTTCATATTTAAATAAATTTAGATTTTAAACTGGAAAACAAACTTACTTAATGACAAGAACTGCTGGATGTCTGGCTCCTGCGCTCTTCGGTTGAAACGTCCTGCTGTAGCTTGTCGGAGAAGAGCTCCCAGGTGTCAAACTACAGCTCGGACTCTTAAACGGGTGGAGATGTTCACCACAACTCTAAATGTTTTGAGAGAAAATTTGTTGCATCTTTTTTGTTTTTTTACCAGTTCAAGATTTAAGCTACAGAACTGTGAGCTTCAGTAAATGGAGACTGTGTGAGAAATCTCTTATAACCTTTGAAACGATCTCAGTTTGGAGAATTACATTTTAGTTCTGACCAGATCAACGAGCTAGCAGCTAGCCTGAGGAAAACCAAGATGGCTGCCATCTTAAAACAGCTCATTCCTGTGAGGGGTTCATGCAAATGCTGAATGAAATGATAGTTTAGATTTCACAGTGTATGCTACGTTTTGTGCTGCTTTAACTTTATTTCCCATCCTGTTCTGGTCCAAATTTCCCATGAGCCCCTCTGGCTGGTTTGGTAGTTCCTCTCGGGGTTTGTGGTTCACATGTGAGTCCTGAGGGTCCAGACTCAGACGTCAGTATGAGCTCTTTGAAACCGTCTCCTGCAGCCTGACAGTAACAGAGGAGGGGTTCTGATGGCAGCAGGGGGTGGATAGATGACAGAACTGCTGGTAAAACAGCCGGGCCGGTTCTGATCTGATGGGTCTGAGCTGCTGCTGTCAGGTTCAGAGAGGCCAGGTGGGGTTAGGGAGCAGGTAAACCCCCACAGCAACACGTCTTTGTGTCTAACACCTGTTCTCTGGGCCTGTTCAAACAGCTGCTGATGGACATGTTCAGGCCCCGCCCCCTCCTGCTGCTCAGCAGGTGTCACAGGTGAAACAACAAAACACAAACAGGAAGCTCAGACCGCAGGAAGTTCACTCAGTTCATCTCAAGCATTCTGGAAATCATCATCCAGAAGCAGAACATCTCAATCACATTATATATATATATATATATATATATATATATGTATATATATGTTTGTGCTGCTGTTCGATGTAATGTTTTTATGTTTTTATGCTACTAGTGCTTAGTGTTTATTTGGTTATTGTTTTTCTTAGTTCATATCTTAGATGTTGTTACTGTTTTCCTTTTACATTTTATTGCTGGATGTAACTGGGACCCTGTGAACATAATTTTGTTCCATCACATGTACCACATGGGGTGCAAATGACAGAGAACCTTGAATATATATATATATATATATATATATATATATATATATATATATATATATATATATACATTTTAAACTCTTCTGTGGCTCTTTTTTCTTCTCTTAAATGTCAGTGTTCTTTTTGCTGTAACTCCTGACAACTTGTGCAGATTTACACTCAAGACATCCAGAGTCTTCCAAAGATGGACAAACCAGGGAGCAGAACAAAACGAGCAGTAGAACATGAAGGAAAAGCAATAAATCCAAATCCAGATGTGGACAGAACCTGCCTGAAGAACCACATGGAGCAGAACCAGAACATAGAAACAACAGGACCAATGAAAAGGTCCAGCTGGATGTTTTTATCTGAACTGACAGCTGGAAGGTCATCAAAATGTTTATTTGATGCTAATCTAATTTATACGGAAACAAAACCTGATGATTGCAGCTTTCAGAGAAAACAATCCTAAATATAAACTTATTTATGTGACTGACAAACATCTAACATCTGGAGAAAACAGGAGGAAGCTGCAGGATCGTGCAAGATGTGACGTTCTGCTCTTTGGAAGTTTGTTCTGCTGAAACTGGTTCTCATGTTTAGAAACAAAACAGGGTTTAGTTTTAACTATGCACCGTTTACAAGTTAAAGTACTCACAGTTTAGTACTTGCCAATACTGAGTAGCAAAGCAAATACTAATAAAATATTGTACTCTTTCTACAGTTCATGGAACTAATTAAACGTTTCTTCTCTTCCAACAGGAGTTTCAGTTTGTACCATCAAAAGAATCATCATTAAAAAGTTCATCATGTTTAACGATCACTTTCAGCTCGTCAGGGACGCTGCTCCTCCCCAAACACCTCACAAGGTATTATTCATAAAAATATTGTTATTAAACATTATTAACACATTAATAATTATATTTTTAAACAATATTAACACATTAATAATATTATTGTAAAACAATATTACCTCATTAATACTATTATTGTAAATGTGTTAATATTGTTTAATAACAAATAATGTTAATATTATTGTAAAACAATATTACCTCATTAATGCTATTATTGTAAATGTGTTAATATTGTTTAATAACAATTATGTTAATATTATTGTAAAACAATATTACCTCTTTAATAGTATTATTATTAACCAATATTAACACATTAATAATATCATTATTAAACCATATTAGTACATTAACAACATTATTATTAAACAATATTAAAATATTAATGATAGTATTGTTAAACAATATTAACATAATAATATTATTATAAACATATTAACATATAATATTATTATTAAACAATATTGACATATTAATAATATTATTATTAAACAATCTTAACACATTAATAGTATTATTATTAACCAATATTAACACATTAATAATATCATTATTAAACCATATTAGCACATTAACAATATTATTATTAAACAATATTAAAATATTAATAATAGTATTGTTAAACAATATTAACATATTAATAATATTATTATAAACATATTAACATATAATATTATTATTAAACAATATTGACATATTAATAATAGTTTTATTAAACAATATTAACACATTAATAATATTACTGTAAAACAATATTAACACATTATTAATATTAAACTATATTAATACATTAATATTATTATTAATAATGTGTTTATATTGTAATTAAACACTATTAACACAATAATAATATTAATATGAAGCAATATTAAGAAAGAAGAATGTGGTGGACGGAGTTCCTCTCGGCTCGTTGAAAGACCTCACAGCAAACAGCCACAGTTTGAATCTCAGCAGCTGCTTCTCGTTAAGCAGCTCTTCAGTTTGGGTCAGATCCTCAGGATGGTGCAGGTTGACGGTGGCAGCCGGCCGACGAGTCCACCGGGCTTCTCCGGGTCGGTAACTCCTGCTCTGATCTCAGGTGCTTCAGCATCCATCCTCAGTGACAGTGACACTGATGGAGACCTTCATCCATCTTGGACTGAACATGGAGACTCTCAGGAATCCAGCTCTGATCACTTTATTCTCAGGAAATCTTC